TGCGTGTTCCCATTTCCAGAATCGAAGATCCCAGTTTGATCCCCGGTTGATCCCAGGCTGCCCCCAGATTAAGCCTCAAACCCCTCTCCCCGCTGGACTGATCACCGCCTCGCTGCTCCCGCCTTGCCTCAGAGGGCTGAACCATTACTCCCTAAAGCGGGAGGGAGACGCCGTGCACCGCCTCCTCCTCCTGCAGCGCAGAGACGGTGTCCTTGGGTCTTCCGCACACGCGAGGCTACAGCTGCTGCCGTGCAAGCAGGCCGAGTCCTGAGCAGGCGAATCCGCCCGGTGAAAGGCGCCGAGATGCTGGGCAGCTCCGGCCGGGGCCACCCGGACGAACACGATGGAGGCACCCCAAGGAGGGACACGGGGAGCCCCCAACACTGCCGGGCGCGCATGCGCGCTGCGCGCTCAACACGGAGAGGGTGATTTGGGGGTATTCGTGGTATTCACTGTTCCTTGTGGAATTTCCCGGTACTCTCTGTTCCTTCGTGGCGAAGGGAGGTTCCTGGTATTCCTTGCGCCCCTGTGGAAGCTCTGAGTGTTCCCCGTGCTTTCGTGGGGGTCGCATCATAGGGAGGTGACCGCACATAAGCGCCCTCGTCTCGTGATCGTGATGTCTCCAGGTTGGGTTCTCTGTCCCCAGGCTGAGTTTTCTCACCTTTTGTTGACGTGACTAATGTCGCCAATATAACGTCTACAATAAAATTTGGGTACTAAAAACCGAACCAAAACAAACAACAAACCCACAAACCAACAGAAAGCCTCCAAAATTTATGTTTCAAGAATTGTGTAAGATCACATCACATAAGTAAGTATGCATTAGGTAGGCAGAGAATATGTGTTTGTTAGGTGGTTCATGTAAATTTTACTGTATATGAAAGCTGTAATACGTATCCAAGTGAAGAGGATGATTTATTGCAGCCTAGGTAGTTAGAGGAAGAAAAGATACATATGACAAAAAAGTCTAGGGAGAAGCAAATGTCACCACTTAGAGCTTCTGGAGAAGCGTAAGTACTTTCAGGAGTGCAATATTAGTTTACAGAAAGTAGTTTTTGTGTCATTATGCTTAGAGTACCTCTAAAACAGGGCATAGTAGTGCTCCATTTATAGCAAAACGAAATGCTAACATTAATTTTAAGCAGATTCATCTTCGGTAGCTTTGACTTGTCACTTGAAATTCTGTTTTCTGCATGAAGATTATCTTGAGCATTACTTCAAGCCAAACTTGTGCATGCATAAAGGTGAGCTTGGAGTAAAACGATACTTAAAATACACAAGTAGTCTGTCTTGGGGAAGATACTGATGAGATTGTGCTGACAGTCAAGCCAGTAAATCAGTGGAGATCTGTAACTGTGTTACTGGTACAGTCAGGTGTTGATTTGCAGCTCCCTGGACAGAAGTTTAAGTTAAATATAACTAGTCCAGATTTTGATTATGTAAGTACACAGTATAAAAAAAAAAATTAAATGTTTGTGGCATTTAGTATTCCTACCTGTGGATACAGAAGAGCTTTTAATAGCTACATGAGAATCATTCTATCTATAAAACACTAACTGATTATATGATAAATGTGGTCATTTCAGTCAGAATCCCCTTCCTCAACCTGCTGCCCACAATGCTTTGGATACATCCCAAGTCATAATTGGCTTTCTGGGCTGCCAGCGGACATGGCTGGGTCAGTGTTCAATTTTTTATCCACCAGGATCCCCTAAGTCTTTCTCCACAGGGCTGCTCTGAATCCATTCTTCCCCTGGCCTCTTTTGATACTGAGGATTGCCTGTTCCTGGATGCAGAACCTTGTACTTGGCCTGCAGCATGCAGTGGCTGAATTATACCAGTCTGTCAGCTTAGGCAGAGAGCATGACTTCACCCTGCAGTGATTAGGATAGAATAGCTTATCTGCCTACTGAAAGACAGGAAACAGCATTTTGGCTTTGAAGTTATTGATGAGAATTTTTTTTTTTTCTAATCTAATCACTGAATTTATTTTGCTTTTTATCAATAGGTGATATTTTTCAAGATGGTTTCAGCCAAATTTGTTGAAGGGCTAGAGAATATTAAGTTCTTGAAGGTTTGCTGAAAAATCATCATCTGGCTAGCCCAAAGTGTAGCGTGCAGTTCTTGTCATCCGTAATAAGTAGTAGTAGTTAAATTTACTCATCAAATTAGTAGTAATAGTAGTTTACTCATTAAATTGTAGTGCATGTTATATTCTTATATATATATATATATATGTTATTATAACCACTGTTCTATTACAGAAGACAGAATAGTTCATTAATCTATCAGCATTGTAAGCTGATAAGCATGTAGTTTGCAGTTCTTAAGCTGAAAAGACAAATTATTGTGCTTTGCTGAATAAGTATTCTGTATCTTACTTTTCTAAAAAGCTTATTGTCTCAGAGCACACACATAAAGTAACGAAGAATGAGAATAATACAGATTATCCAAGAGGGACATCTGGAGAAACACACGAGGCCTCAAGGACTGAAAAAAAAAGAGAAAGCACCTAACAACTGAAACGGGCCAGCAGGGAAGCCAATCAGAACCAGACCTGCAAACTCAGATCCAATGGAAGAACAACAAATGACTATGGGAGAGGAACTGATAAGGGAATAAAAGTTACTGTTTTTGCTTACTGCGCTTGCGCGCCGTGAGTGGAGCAAGGGACTCCCCGGCCTCTCAGCATGCTGTTTTGCTTATTTACCTTTTCTATAAATCTTCAATAAATTTTTTTTACTATATTTCAACTCAGTTTCATTTTACTTATAACATCATCCCATCAACTGGAGAAAGCATGGGAGGGAGTGGTGGTAATGTCAACACTCACTGGTATATGCACACTTCTCCACCATTTTCTTTTAAATCCATAAAGCCATTTTGCAAGTGCCACTGCAGCCTTCCAGCAGCAAGGGACCTGTGTCTCAAGGTACGTATGGACAGGATTTGTGTTTCCCAGCTACGCTGAGCTGCTTGGAACTGAGCACTGAAGGGAGCCTGGTATTACTCACTACCTAAACTGAGATTTTCCCTTTTTGTTACAGTATTGTTGAGCGCTTTCTGAGGGTGCATAAAAGGCCTTTTTTTATCACCGAAGTATTTTTTCAGAGCAGGGAATGTTTCTGACAACTTAATACTGAAAGAGCCTATTTTGGATGGCATTGGCTTTAGCTCTGTAAAATACTTCAGATCATCAGTGATCTCTTAATTCATTCTTATTTCCCATTTTCAAAGTATAATTCAACAGCTGGCAACTGACATCCTTAGAAGAGGGCTTTCCCCCTGCCCCTGCCACCCCATTCCCTGGGAAATATAATGTCAAATCAAGTTTGTTCTTTATATATTTACCACTACATGTGAGGGAGATTGCAGTTCAGTGTTCAGGCTCACTCTGCAAAGGCGGTGTAGTAGAAACAGTTCTGGCTCCTCATCCTTTTCAGTAGTCATTGATTTCCTGGGAACGCTAACAGTCAGAATCTGAATCTCTAATAAACATCTTGTTTTGTTCCGCTCTGGGTGTGTCCGTAGTTTTCCTGAGTGATTTCCAACACTCAGTTGTAAAGCTAAAATTCCCTGTTGTGCTTTCTTCAGCAAGAAAACCTGTTCCTGCCCTTCCTGGCTTGTGGCCTCTTGTTTCTGTTCCCAACATCAATTAACTGCTCCATGAGTTTTGTCAGTACCGGTATTTTGGCAGCGTGCCACAAAACAGGTCACTGAAATGGTCAGGACTCGTTAAAAACAAGTGATTTGGCTTTGGGCACACTAAAATGTGCAAAAGAAGAAAATAAAATAAAATAAAATAAAATAAAATAAAATAAAATAAAATAAAATAAAATAAAATAAAATAAAATAAAATAAAATAAAATAATAAAATAAAATAAAATAAAATAAAATAAAATAAAATAGTTAAATATAGCCTGACCATAGCCAAGCAATGTTAAACATTTGTTCTTTAGTTCTAGGTGTGTGTTGCATAGAAAGCTTGCAAATCCACCTACTGTTTTCTTTCTTTTCCTCATATAAAATGAGGGACTGTTTTATATACGATGTTTTTGTGGTATTATAGGAAATCGTACCTCAACATGTTAAAGAGAGTATCTCGAGGGAGCATCATGTGTAGAAGCTGAAGTATCTCTAAAGTGATTTGTGAGTCACTAATGTGACATTGCTCCTGCTATGCTGTGTTGAGTGATTTGGAGCACTCTCAGTGTCAGGTTTTCTTCATGCCCTCATCCCACCAAACTTGCAGGGTGTGATTTCCTTGGCATTTTGTCGGCTTCATTTCTTGACGTCTTGTTTTCCTGCAACCCACCAGAGGTCAGTGTAATGCTGAGAATAGCGAGGAATAAGGCCGGGACAATAATGCTGAGTTGCTGGTAGTTGCTAGGATTGTAGGAATTACTTGAGTGTAGCAGAGATCTGTCTAGCAGTGTACCTTATATTTTATCTGTGCCAGCTCAATTAGGGAAAGGATATGAAGCCAGAAATATGCCAATGTGAAGTCACCTTCACATTGGATGGTGAGATTGTTAGAAGCTGACAAACCTCCAGAAGCTTGAAG